TTCATTGAATTTGATTAATTAGTTGCCAAGATATTTTCAATCAAAGTTTAAGAAATTTTAAAAAAATAATATAATAAGGGAATATGTTTTTTATGCACCCGCATGGTTGTGCATCCCCACGTGCATCATATAAAAATAATAATCATCATTGATAATCATTATTGTTTTTTTTTGTTTTCGCTTACTAACCTTTTTTTTTTTATTGCTACATCATTAGTGCCGTTGTTGGTGTATTGTCACTAGTTGGTGTCGTTCTGGTGTTGTAGTTGGTGTCATCGTTGGTGTCGTAATTGTGTCGTCGCTGGTGTTGTCGCTAGCTGTGTTCTTGTGGAATGGCTTTATGTGCTTCTCTTGGTATTCTTGAAATGATATTGCGTGGTTTTTTGCCGTCCTTGTGGGTGGTCTTGTTTGTTTTCTTTGCGTTTTTGGTGTTCGTACAGGTGGTCTTGTCGTTTCTCTGGTGTTCATGTGGGGGGTGGTCTTACTTGTTTTTTTGGCGTTCGAGCAGGGTTGTCTTGCTTGTTTTATTAATATGATAAGTGGTTTTTTTTTGTTTTAATTTTTGTGTTTGCTAAATTTTTTTGGTTTGTAGGTTTCGCCTAGACGTGGAATCACTCTTGGTAAGTTTTTTTTTTTACTTGTTTTCTTTAGTTTTTTTTTTTTGTTTTTTTTTTTATATATATATCCAGCTTCTCGTTTTGTATTGTGATGCCATCGTTTGTATCTGCGTCGTTTGATGGTGCCTTCAATTTCGATGGTGTGGTCATTTTTTTTGGTGCAGTGTTTCAGCGTTTCTTGGTGTTTTGTCGCTGCTTCGGGGTGTGCTATGTATTGTCGTTTCTTGGTGTTGTGCATTGCACCGTATATAGTTGTTTCTTTGTGTTTTGCTGTTGCTTTGGTACTGTCGTTTCTTGGTTGCTTCGGGATTAGAGTTAGGGTTCGGGTTCGTGTTAAGGTACAGATGTTCGTCCTTTGTGTGTTTTTTTTTTTAGTTTTAGTGCGATTTGTTTTTTTTTTTTTTTTTAAGGATGTTCGTCACTTTGTTTAGTTGTAATG